TTTGGAATCTTGATAATCCTGGGATCGAAAATTTGCCCTTAATCTGGTGCTTGAACATCCAGCATTGAGATTTCTTTCTGGATAAGGAGGGAACAGTTAAAAATTCAAATTTTAAAAAAAATTAAAAACATTAGTGATTTAAAATTTTTTTAATTCCTGCTGAGTTTAAAGTAGCGCAAAAACTTAGTGTATTCAATTATTTTTTTTTGTTTTAAATTCACTTTAAAATATTTCCAAAACTTTGTGAATTGTGAAATACCAAGGAATCAAGAGTTAAAGTGAGGCGTTTCGTGACGTGAGGTTTTGAAGTTCCACAGAGTTTGTGATTTGAAGAACTCAGTTTTCGGCCTGAATTGGAATTTCAGCCCGAATCGGAGTTTCAGCCCGAGTCGGAGTTTAAGCTCAAATCGGAGTTTCAGCCCGAGTCGGAGTTTCAGCCCGAGTCGGAGTTTCAGCCCGAGTCGGAGTTTAAGCTCAAATCGGAGTTTCGGCCCGAGTCGGAGTTTCAGCCAGAGTCGGAGTTTCAGCCCGAGTTTCAGCTCAAATCGGAGTTTCGGCCGAAATGCGTCTTTTGGCTGGACTTGGAATTAGAAGACGAATTAAAGTGAGGTTTTAAAGTTGTATGGCGTTAATTGCGGTATTCAACTTTATTTCTTCAAAATTGTCATTGCTGGGCCAAAGGTCACTTTAGTTTTGAACCAAAGACTCAATAAACTCAAAGCAGGAGCTAGGTCAAAAATCCCCTTTTTAAGCTAATACATACATAAAGCAATATTTACAGTTTTTCAGGTAGGTAGGCTTGGAATCCTTTACTTTCTTAAAACTTCGGGTCGATGCGTCGTTTCTCCTTGAACTTATAATAACGTTTGTTTAAAAAGCGAATGCACAAGATACACGATTGGCCAATGAAAGTCAAGCACAAAAATAAAAGATAACAGAATTTTCATATCTCCTTGTTAGACTGATAAATATTTCCTATTTGTTCTCTAACTTATGCTGATATACATACATTTACCTACATTATGAAATGAAAAAAGTCCGACAATTATTTAAGACATTTTTTATGTTCATACGTTCTTTCTATAAATATAAATATTTAAGTAAATACTCTGCTTATAATAAACAGTATTAACAACATTTACCGGCCTGAATGTTCGAGAAATTTTAATAGAAAATATGCGTCCTCCGACAGGAATCGAACCTTATATCCTATACGGAACCGTCATAAAGCCTGACGTGCCTTAACCAATTTGGCCGCAGAGGAGCATCCAGTTAGCAGAGTCGATTTTACTGCTTTTAAACACAATTCTCCATGATTTTCTCTCATTCATTCATATCTGCTCAATGCGTATCCAAATGTAAACAAATGACGTCATACATTATGAAATGGACAAAGTCCGACATTTATTTCAGACATTTTTTATATCATTCAGGCTGGTAAATGTTGTTAATACTATTTATTATAAAAAGAGCATTTACATAAATATTTGTATCTATAAAAAGAACGTATAAACATAAAAAAAGTCTTAAATACATTTATATGTATATATCGAAAGATAGCTCTAGTCACTACTCAAGTTTCACGCTCTGGCGAACTTCTGCGGATTAGAATGACCAACACCGGCATTCTAATCGCCTAAAGATCAACATTCGAGTAGCGATTCGACCTTTGATTGTTGACAATGTGAAGCGCTTTTTGCTCACTCTAAATAGTCTCGATGTTGAACGATTTAATTTGCTGTGTAGGTAGCTGTTTGACATTTGGTCACCCGTTTTTTTTTCTTTCCTTGTACGGAATATCTTTATTATCTAAGGTTTTAGGTCTTTTGATAAGAAATCGATCGTTTTTGACAACCGTAAAAGACAAAAGAAATTACACCAACAGAAGATAATTTTTAACTGTCTGGTGGTCCGCCATTGCAGCTTTCTTGAATCCAACCAGAGCATCACTATCGAACTTTTCCACCAGATTCTGGGGGAAATGCGCACTTACTTAAGTAAAATGCGCCCCGCACTGATTAATAAACAAAGCTCAAACTTACTTCATGACAATGTTCGGCAAAATCTTCCCAGAATATCAGTGCAAAAGCTCTTCGAGTTAGGATACTAGACTTTTTCGCTTCCACCATATTCCCCAGATCTTTCGCCCACTGACTACTAACTTTTCAAGTGTCTTGACATTTTTCTAAGCTAAAAGACATTCCGAATGCAAAGAAAATGCAGAGCCTGCATTCAAGTATTTCATGGCATTCAAACCTCTACAGTTTCATCGTAAATGCTTATTTAAAATTAGACATCCGTTTGAGATGGAATGACAAGTAGAAAAGAATTAGCATTTTCGAAATTTTCCTTTTCTTTGCTTTTTATCATGGTCACAAAGCTACTCGAGGCATTTGTGGTGTGTACGGAAATGACTTCATTGACACAGAAATGGTTTACCCGTTTAATTTGAACAAAGTTCGAACTCGCAGATTCTACACGTTTTAGCTGACCTGTTCAG